AAAAAATAATTAAAAAATAAAAAACGGATTTTCAAAATCCGTTTTTTATTTTTTATTATTAAAAAAATAAATAAAAAATAAAAAACGGATTTTGAAAATCCGTTTTTTAACAAAAAATAAAAAAAAAATAAAAATAAAAATAATAAAAAAATAAAAACGGATTCTCAAAATCCGTTTTTCCTTGGAAAAACGGATTTTGAGAATCCGGCTGTTTTATTTTTGTCCAGAATGTTTTTTTTTTTTTTATAGATGTCCACGGATTTTTTGTTTTTTTTATATAAATAAATGATTCAAGAGATTTGTTAAAACAGGGGTTACCGAAAAAGGCTATGTCAAGGTGTATCATATAATTTTTTATTTTTTTTTTGTTTAGGTTTTTTTGTTTGGTTGTTAATTTTGAAAAAAGTGGTATGGTTAGTTGTTAGTGGGTATATTAAAATAATATTTTGAATAAAATAATTAAAGTTGATTTGATTTAAAAGCATGAGAGAAATGATTTAAAGTGATAGTTAGTTAATTATGTGACTAGATGAATAATTAATTAAAGTTGATGTAGTGTGTAAGAATGATTGATTGATATTATTTAATTATATTAATAATATTGATGATAGTGAAGTTGAGTTAAAGAAGTAATTGAGTTAAAAATGATTGGATTTTTGGGATAAGTTTTGTATCCAAGCATCTTCTTAAATGAGTTCAATCTCAGCTCATATATTTAACGAGCTGATTTCGTGATTGAATGAATCGAGGTAAATTTAGAGTTCAAATGTTACGCAAGAATTTAATTTATCAAACTTATACACTCAGACCGAGTTCAACTCGTTAACTAAATGAAATCAAGCTCAGTTCGTTTATCAGCTCACAAGTGACTTATTTTATTTAACAATTCTGAACAAGTATCAATTGGATATTTAAAAAAGAATAAATAAATACATGTTCTTTATTTATATATACTTACCATTTTTTTAATTATTTTCTTTTAAAATTTTTTCTTATCTATGTTTGAAAAGTATCAATCCTTTTAAATACTCAATTGCTATTCACCGTCCCCCTATTACTACTTACCGCCCCTCTTTGGACAATTTTGCCCCTAGCATTTTTGTACAAAAACCGTCCGGCCGCCGGAACCGGACGGCTTTTAACCCGTCCGGCCGGCCAGTTTAGACGGCATAAAAACCATCCGGTTCCGGCGGCCGAACGGGCTAAAAGCCGTCCGGTTCCGGCGGCCGGACGGGCTAAAAACCGTCCGGTTTCGGCGGCCGGACGGTTTTTTTTTTTAAATTATAATAATACTTATAATTTAATTATAACTAGTACAGAGCCCGTGCGATGCACGGGGTGTAAAATTTTTAGGTTATTTATCCAAGCTTATAATTATATACATGAATAAAGAAAAATGTACGGGATATATATAGTACGTGACCCGTGCGAAGCACGGGATATATTTATTTGAAGAATATTATATTATAAGATGCAATATTCAATAAAAGTTTATAATACGCAAGAAAATTGTACAATGTTCAATAAAATTTTTATAATATTCAAGTGGAGATTTGAAGAATATTATATTATAAGATGAAATATTCAATAAAAGTTTATAATACGCAAGAAAATTGTACAATGTTCAATAAAAGTTTATAATATTCAAGTGGAGTCTTAAAGTCTCTTGTACATTAAGACTACAGACAAAATAATATTTTAATCAATGAGTTTCCTTTCCTCGTAGCCAAATTGTGAATGTAATTTGAGGAGTACAACAAATCGAAATATACTTACTTGCTTTTTTCATTGTAGTTTTTTTTTAGTTTTTTTTATAATGAATTTAAAGATATTCTGAAATATAGCAAAAATTAATTTTTTTTATTACAATTAGGAATTTTACTAAATATAAACTCTCGATCTATGGTGTTAATCAACGTTTAAGTTTAAAAAATTAGTAATTTTTACCTCTTTTAATCAACGTTTAAGTCTAAAAAATAATAGGGTTATTATAAGTTTTTTTCTACATCTTTTAAAACATTAAATATGAGCATGTTAGGGCTAGGTTGTATAATAATTAATATATTATCTCACTAAAACATTTATACTAATAAAAATTTAATTTTAGCATATAAATTTATCCCTTGATATAAAAGAAAGTAACAGTTTTACTTATTGTTGTTCACCATATAATATTTAATTATTATTTTATTATATAATAAAAAAAGAATATTGTTAAATAGTGTAGTAGAATTGTTATAAAATTATATGAATTTTTTTTTTTACAATATGGATT